TTCATTATTTATTATTTTACCTAGTGATATTTGTCTTTTAATTCATGTATACATTATTTTTGAATAAATATTAATTAAAAAGATATTATCACTAGGTTAAATAATAAATAATGAATTATTTTATAAGAAACATAATATATTTTAAATAAATAATTAATGATACTAAAGTTAGCCGACGTTTTTAATTTTTTGATTGTATCTTTAATAATTAAATTAGAACAAAAAAATACTTTTTAAAAATTGCATTTACACTTTTTGAAGTTTTTTACAAGTGAAAGATTTTTTTTTATTTTTTTTAATCATTTTTTCAATAAAAAAAAAAATTGTCAAAATTTTTATATTTCAGCTAACTTAATTTTCATAATTAAAATATTTTATAATTATCGATTGTAAACTATTGATACTTTGAAGCTCCAAAATTAGTTTATTCAGAAAAATCTTTAATATTTCATCATTAAAAGAGCATTATGAGTCGTGCACTTTTGGATTTTCCAAACTTTTAATTGTTATTTTAAAATTAAAGCGAAAATTCTGGCTCCTTAATTAATCACCATATATTTATATATATTAACTAGAAATATAATAAAGTCAGTTTTTTCAGTTATCTATGTATACAAAACAATATAAATTGAAATTAATTAAATTTTCACCTGATCGGATCCGTTTATTAACTGAAAAACCATATCCTCCGTCAACGATTTTATGCTTGCCGAGTCCCTGGACTGAACAACGGCAATATAATTGGTGATGCCAGATATTTGTAACGCCAATTTACGAAATAACTCGTCATGATCCGGAAGGTTGATGCCTATATTAATTTAATTAATCAGTAAAATCCTATTATTTCATTATACTAATTAATAGCAATCATTACTCAATAACCTGTTAACAATATAGCGGTGGGAATTTCGTTTAAAAAATCGCTGCTATTATTTTCCTTGATATCGCTCATGTACTTCTTTATGTCGGTCAATATTTGCTTGAACATATCGGTGTTTATTTCCTGTTTTTAATATTGAAAATAATTTTTTACGTTTTAATTTAATTTTTTATTAAAACCATTTTAAGTTTTTCAAACTACTATTATTTTTTTTTATTAATACCTCAGCGCAATTTTTAATTGTCGACCAAACTTGTTCGTACGCTAGATACCAAGGCTCTGAAAATTTGCAATTTGATACTGATTTTGACCTTTTGCGATTGCTGCCAATTGTGTAACGTCCTGGGTGAGCAAAAATTCCCTAAAAAAAAAAAAAAAACAATTACACATAGACGCGTTTTATAAGAAAAAATATTTTTTTATTGTAATTTTTCTTACAAATTGAACAATTAAAAAAAAGAAGAAATAATTTATATAATTAAGAGAAAAAGCAAAATTTTGTGGCCAGTGTATGTATATGATAAAATAGGTTTTTATGGTTAAATTTGCAGGTGTTGGAAAGGTCTTAACCTGGAATTATGCATTTTTCATATTTCAGATGCTTTTCTAAAATAGTTAATTTATTATGATAATTATTAAGACTGCATTAAAAAATCCTCTCTCTTTAAATACATAATTAAGAAATGACCTTGTATATGGTAAACTATTGACGTTTTTAAAGATATAAGCTCATCCTGATGTTACACTCATAAAGAGCTTTCATTTGAGTACCCACATCAGTTTTTCATATATTTTATATATTTATATATATTATATATATAAATATATGAAAAATATATCAAAAATGCATGTAGGTACTCAAATGAAAGCTCTCGATTAGTGTAAGGTCGGGATGAGCTTATATTTTAAAAAATATCATAAGTTGACAAAATACAATATAATTTCTTAACTATGGACATTTTTAAATATATAAGCTCACCCCGACATTACACTCATCGAAACCTTTCATTTGAGTACCCACATGCATTTTTAATATATTTTTCATATATACATATATATAATATATATATAAATATATGAAAAATTGATGTGGGTACTCAAATAAAAGGTTTCGATGAGTGTAATGTCGGGGTGAGCTTATATCTTAAAAAATGTCAATAATTAAGAAATGACCTTGTCTTTTGTAAACTATTGAGATTTTAAAAAATGTAAGCTCACCCTGATATTACACTCATGGTTTGATGTTTTTTTTAGTAGTCATGCAATTCTTTATGTCATGAGAATTAATGTAGCACATATTTAAGAATTTTAAAAATTTTATAACAAATAAATTATGGTAAAAAAAAATAAGAAAAAAAAATTGACATTTAGAAATTTAAAAAAATAAAAAATGCAATTTTTTTAAAATTATTTTTTGGAATAAATCTTTTTGTTAAATAAAATTAAAAAATTTTCAAGTGACAGCTAACTTTAATGTCATCTTTATGTCACTTTATGTTTTTGGAGTAGTTTTTAATAGTTTTTTGGTTTTATAAATTTGTACAAGTTGCTAGTTATTTTTATTTAAATTAAATTTAGCGCTCAAAAAAATTTGAATTTTCCCGCCATTATAAAGTAAATAAACAGTGAAACTGTTATTACTTAAGATAAGCATGCCGGCTTGCCGGCATGCAACAGGTAACAATTAACAACTATTATTATTATTATCTACATATTAAATATGAAATAGCGAATTAATTACCTTCGAAACTGATACGTCGTCCATTGTATTAATTATCCGTTAAATTTTTGTAACACCACTCTTAAATTTTAATACTCGTTATATTATCCGCAACACTGAAATTTATTAAATATAAATGATATTTTAGTTTTAGTGTAGCGCTACTATGATTATTGAAGCTAATTACACACGAGTTTACATTATTAATTACTAATTGTAAGTTATAAATTATAAATCGTGGGTATAACTTGAAAGTTTGGTTAGTTTGCTGTTATTGAAGCAAGCAGAGGGAAATAACAGAACAGAGAATGTATATTCTTACCAGTATATTCTGTATGTGTGTAGGGTATTACTCACCACTAACAAGAAGACGACAGCTGTCTGTATACCTTGCCGGGGAGCTGCTGCCACCAGTGGGAACTCTTTTGTCGTTTCAAGCTATTCAAGGTTTAGTTGAACGGTTGGAATATAATATTAGTCATCGTTTATTGAGAATTTAGGCGGAATTTTATCTTCAAATATTGTAATTATATGAATACTTTAATTTTTTTTTAATTGTAACAATAGCTTTAATTTAATTTAATGGAAACATTGCAATTAATAGAAATTTCAGCGTAAATCAAGAATCTGTTTAATTGGATACAAGAAAAGAATTTAAGAAAAAATAAACCCTTGTTGACTCTTGTTAAAATTTGACTTTTGTTAAAATGCTCTTGTTAAATTGCACTGTACTTTTTTAACTATTGACGTTTTTAAAGATATAAGCTCATCCCGATGTTACACTCATCAAGAGCTTTCATTTGAGTACCCACATGCATTTTTTATATATTTTTCATATATACATATATATAATACATATAAATATATAAAATATATGAAAAATTGATGTGGGTACTCAAATGAAAGGTCTCGATGAGCGTAATGTCAGGGTGAGCTTATATCTTTAAAAATGTCAATATTTCTCAAGATACAAGGTCAATTCTTAATTATCTCTCTAGAGATAGAGCATATTCGAAAGCAGCTTAAATACATTATAATAAATTGTCTATCGATGAAAATGATATAAAACTTTAAAAATATGACATATTCTTGTTTAACTTGAAATAAAATATGTTAAATGTCAGCAATTCTAATTACTAAATTAGAATTTTTGATATACTTTTATCAAGAGATTGTTTTTACTTGAGAAAATTACTTTTTTACATTTAAAAAAAGTAATTTTCTTTGAAATTATTAATCTATTTTCTAAATATTTTTCTAAGCATTGATTGTGACTCCGTGTTCACAAAAATAATTTTTTTTCTCATTAAATAATCCATAATTTTCCATTAAATAAACAAATTATTTTACATATATAAATTAACTTTTAAATAATTTAATTTTCAAACTATTGTTTTTATTAGTCCGTATTTTAATTTACGTTGAAACTCTTTAAAATTAGAATTAACTTTTTTTTTAACACTCAGAAGTTCCTGAGGTGTAAGATCAATTTTTTCCCTCTTCTCAATAATTTCAATCATAATCTTATTAGCAGGATGCACATTATTAGGATCCAAATTAATCTCAATATAATTTTTCAACAAATAATTAAGCGCATCGTAAATAGTGAACCGTCCGTGATTTTGTACGTCTTCAATATTAAAGTAATTAATAATCGGCGGCCCGTAAGAGCTGTATTCACTTTTAACGACATCGTATTCCACGGGGAGGCAAACAATGTTAGGATCGGACAATTTAGTAGTTAGAGCGTCGAAAATTAGCGTCGGAGATGTTCTGCTAGGACAGTCAAACTCTTTGAGTGCGTTTAAAACAAAGCACTGACCATTGACCGCCCAGAAGGCCCATTCGTAAGGCCTCATTAAAATCAATCTGTTGCATTTTGATCGAGTCGACTGCTCGTAAATCTCCAGAAACGTCGGCTGGAAATTAAAGTCCGATGACACCTTCTCGAAGATTTTTTCCGCCGACGCGTCTGAGTATTTTAATGAAATTACCTTCGCGCACAGGATCAGTATCATGCTGACGTACATCAAAATTAATAAGTAAGGATCCATTTTTAATGTTAGTAATTTTCTCTTTGTCTAATAGAAGGTGATAAGCGATAAAAAAAATAATTAATAAAATGTGAGGTAATACTGAGTCACTCACATGACAGAAGTGTGATTAATGATTAAGACATTTATGAATTTGTTGCTGATTTTTCATTGTAACGTAAGAGTTTAATTATTTTTTTTATTAATATTGTCTTTTTAAAGTACTTAAAATTTTGGAAAATCCAAAAAGTGCACGCCTCATAATCTGGGTTTTCATAATAAATAATAGTTTAAAAAAAACTAAAAACACGCTTTTTATAGAAAACCAAACTAAAAAATAGATAATAAATTTTAATTAAGAATAGTGTTAAAAATTTCAATAAATATAAATTAATAATAGTGTGAATAATAAAAAAATTATTTTTTTTTTTAAAAAGCGTGGGGTGCATGGTGTCAATAGTTATAAATATTTTATTGACAGATATGAGTAGAGTGATTATTATCATTTTGATATCTTAAAAAACACCCCACGCTTTTTTTAAAATAAAATACATTTTTTTTATTTACACTATTATTAATTTATATTTATTGAAATTTTTAACACTATTCTTAATTTAAATTTATTTTCTATTTTTTAGTTTGGTTTTCTATAAAAAGCGTGTTTTTAGTTTTTTTAAACTATTATTTATTTTTTACTTTTTAGTTTGGTTTATTTATAAAAGCGTGATTTTTTAGTTTTTTTAAACTATTATTTGTTTTGTAGAATTAAAATTCTCCTTAGTATTCGAAAATTTGTCAATATTAGAAAAATCGGCTAAAGATAATTATTGGAAATTAAAATTAACATCAAGTCCTTATCGACTGTAGAGAAAAATTATAAAAAATTAATATTAACGTTTCTTACTTTATCGACTATAGATGAAAAGTATATAAATTAACAAAAATCATATTTTCCAAATTGAAAAATGGAATAATTTTATCAAATTAGTGTATTGTCATCGGACTTCGATAAATCTACAAAGTTTCAACGAAATCTGGCCGTTTAAAGTGGGTCAAAATCGCGCCCAAAGAAGTCGGTTACAAACATACAAGTGAAGCTAATAAAAGCTTGTAATAAAATTGGTTAAAATAAAATACAAATACTTTTAAATCTTTCGCGCCATTGTCCACCCAGAAAAGAAAGGTACTGCGCATGGGTTGTAAACGAACCTTATTAACATAGATGTAGATATACAAAGGATAGGTGGATTTTAGTTTTTTGCTAATTATAATTAAACTACATTGAATTAGACCGTGATCTTCGAAAGGACTTTGTATTGGATAATACTGAAGCGTATAAAAAAAAAATGGACGTGATCGGTTAAGTTTTTCGGCAGTTATCGTGACCACACCAGTTTCCATACATACATCAGACACACGGACGTCCACGGAATAATTTTTTTTATTTATTTAAAAAGCAAAATGTCTTTTAAATATTTATAGAAAAAAAAAATTCATCCAAACTCATCATGCGGGATAACCCCTTAACCATTATATTTTTGATGAGGTAGATTAAGCGTGAGTGAAGTATGAAATCAAGAATAAAAGGAAAAAAGAACACTAAAACACAGCAAATAGGTATTCTAGTTGATCGCCTGCTTAGAAATGGAATTGTGGAAGCTGCAACTGAACCGTGTGTAGTATATGCTCGGGTCATGATCATACGAGCTTTAAAGTTCATTCCGAATTTGTACCCCACACTTGTCTAACAATTGTTCCGCTGTTCTCTGTCTACAGTCTGGAGTCTGTATGTCCTCATCTGGTGCTGGTGCAGTATCAGAACCACTATAGCACAGACAGTATATTTTATATATATATATATATAAAGCCCTTATAGTATGCTAACGCTTATTGTAATACTAACACATATGTGAGAGTGCAATCAGCGGCAACGACAATGACTACGGCTACAATCTCCTCATTCAGTGTTACTGTCCTCGACATCTCTACTTATGTATATGACACTTTTTGAACTCGACAAATTTCTATATCATTATAATTATATACCATTTTTTATTTCTCTGTAGATCAAGATGTATATGTGCTTTGCTTTATTTGCTTTCAGCGAATTTGCCAAAGACCACTGACGAACTTGGAGACACTATTTCGTCGGAGCTCGAAGGTAACCCTCCACTTTGGGTGACAAGAAAACGTGGATATCCTCAAGATGAAATTTATATCAACAATGCCAAAATTCTTGACGGTAGCAACTACAGGTCCAAAATTCATACGTCTAATGGAGAAAAAATTCAGGTAATTTATTTTCTTTTTTATTATCGTGTTAAATAAACAATTATTAGGTGACTGCACATGGAAAGAACAAGATTATACTGGATATAATCCCAGATTATACTGAGCGAAAAAACATTTCAGATAGTAGCTAGTATAATCCAGATAACAATGAGTATAATCCAGATATTATTCAGTATAATCTGGATTATACTAGTTACCATCTGAAATTTTTTTTTACCTCAGATATCACTGAGTATAATCTAAGATGTTATCCAGTGTCATCTTGTTCTTTCCGTGCATATATGTGATTCCATATATAATCATAATACAATTATATAGAAAAATTTGTTCTTAGGTTTAGCGAAATTTTCCTTTCTGTTTACGATTTCTCATTTTCCGTATGCACGCGAATGATATTAACACAATATAAATTATAAAGTTTAATACTCACATGAACGTAGTATATACTAGAGCAAACTTTCCCTGGAAAGTGCACGGGAATTGCTCGAAAATTCCAGTCTTGCTAAAATAACCTGGAAATTAATACACAGTATTAGTACTACATAATATACTCTAACTGGGATATTAGAGGCACTGCCTCGTCATTGTAACGAGCTTTTAATAAGCTTACTGAAGCCTTTGGGTCTTTTCGCAACTCATTTCCATGAGTTTTGATGAACTCGATTTATTGCGTAATACCTCCAGCTTTATTAATTAACTATTTCAATTAAGCTTATTAAATTATTAATTTTTTTTTTATTTCATCAATTTATCTTTCCATCAACTTTAATTATACATGCTTTAGCTTTTAGTCAAATCTATTAATATTTTTTATCAAATATGTGTTAATAGAAACCAGCCTTAAAAATACATGAACATTTTTAAAAAATTGAGGTTAAAAACTTGACACCGTAAATAAATAAGAACTTACTCATGTACGGTGAAATAAAAATAATAACGCGATAATTATTAAGTAAGACGTGAAAATAACTAACGGTTAGAGTAATCTTTGAAGCGGCGGAAAGATTAAACTTTTCTGACAATGTATATTAAAGCATAAAAGTATATGTATAATGACATTAATTTGTGCCTCAAGTAGTGAATATATATATTTATGTATAAGATGAGTAAAGTTACCTTCTTACTAAGCTTCCTAATTAAATTATTTCACTATGTCCCGTATACATGTATATTTATTATACCTTTCAAAACTCCGCGCTTCAGGTTATATGTATTATAATTAAGCTTAATTAGCAATTAGTGATTAAATTTTCAATTTAAGTTTTTCAGTTACACGCGAAAACGCTTCGTGATTCGCTCAAAATTAAACACCTAAGTTTGTTGTCGCTAAGAAGTAATGAATCGCTCTTGCTAGATTTTTAGCTCATTAAAACTTGCATACGGTGTGTGTCATGTATCAGTTGACTAGGTTATTCAATGAAATTGATTAAGCGGTACTATGTTTAAGGATCATTTCATATCAAATGGGCTTAAAATAGAATTGTGCTCGGTTCGAAGACAGAAAGAAAAATTTTTTGACTGGAGAACAAAATTGTTGGTTAGAAAATTGGTTAAATTTTTTGCCTAAAAAATAAATTAAATTAAAAAAATTTATTAAAAATATTTACGATATTAAATAAAAATATAAGTACCTATAAAAGTTGGCAATCTTTAAAAATTAAATGAATTAAGTAAACTTTGCAGTTTAAGCCAAACAATAACTAAATAAAAGCGAAATTCAAGCTGCGTCCACCCCCCATATTCCGTATTTATATTTCTCATCAAAGAAGAGGCTTCTAGGTAAATAACAGAAATGACTAAAGCACAAAAGACACAAAGAGTACGTCGCGACGCCGGGCTGTCGCGACGTCGTGGCCCAGCCGCTTACTCACCGAACAATACTTTTATTTGCGGACATACTGTCCTAAGAAATATAAACCACTTTCTCTAATTGATTGTGCAAATTTAACGGCTCAAATTATTTCATTTTTCTCGTCTTTATTAATTCCACGATATATAATCTTATCCCCTTCGCTTATGAGGCGTGAAAAATTTTCATTTGTAAAAAACTTGAAAATCTATAAGTGCAATTTAAAAAAAAATTTTTCTTGGCTTAACTGAATTTTTCTCTTGATTTATAATTTTTTTTCATTGTAAATATAATTTTGTTGCCTGACTAAATTCCAAGTACTAATAACAATTAGGCATACTAATTATAAACATTCCATAAAATTTAAAATAAATTTTTTCATTTACTTCACTGGCTTTTAAAATTCAATATATTTATCCTAATTTAACAATAAGATCTCCGTCTCTAAATTTATACTTACAAATATCGTCCACTTACAGCCATCTTGTCGGAAAATCGCCAGAAACTTAAATTAAGAGGTTAAGTCCGCGCGCGCTCATTACACGCGCCCAGTCCGCCATCTTGTTGACTCAATTACACTTGAGTGGGCTACGCTGTTTCTATTTTATATTTTTTCTATTTCCGAGGCACGTCAGGTCAATTAATCTCTTGCAACGCACCCTAGCCGCCATATTGCCTCAATTAAATAAGCATGACGCAGTTTAATTGCAATAAGCAAATAATTTATAAATAAAAGTGTAACTTGGTAAAAAAATCTATTTCTTCTCACTCTAGTAATTAAAACTCACCGTAGTTATTACTACTAGGCAGATGAATTGCATTTTCGTCATACTTCTGATCGTCTATTATAATTAAAATTAATGTTGTTAGTTTCTAACCTAATAAATTAAAAATTAAAGCGGTAAAAATTTTAAATTCTACATTATTACTGACAAAACCTTCAACACACTTTATATATATTTATAAAGTATGTTCTATGTAGTCATTGGTTTTTATGACGGAAAATAAAAAAAAACTTGAGCCGATACTCGACTAAAAAAAATGCGATTAGATAGAAAATAAATAGAGACAATTTTAGTTCAAAAAATCACTTGATTTTTGCAAAGCGAGAATAGAGCACTACCTCATGCGCTTCGCTTATGAGGCGTGCAATAATAATAATTTATATTAACCTCCAGCAGATAGAAGAAGCACTAAAAGAAGTTGAAAATAAAAGGTGGAGTTTAAAATTTTTAAAATTCAAAGAAAAATTTAATTAACCATTTAAAATAAATCCAAAAGTAAGAAACAGGGCTGGGGTTAATCAGAAAAATTCTCATTATAAACACCAGCACCAGGAGCCAGTTAAGAATAAAGTGCACGGGTCTCGGTACACACTTGGTTTCCCGTTCCTGGTTTCATGACCCACAAGGATTTTATCGTCGGGTTAATTTAAAAGATAAACCTGATACGCAATATCTTGTTCTCCATTCTTTTCATCTTTATTTTATTTTCCTCCTCTAATTAATTTAAACTTTTTTTACTTCTTTTATCTTCCATTCCTTTAGATTTCACTCGGTGCAATAACCGTCTTTGGAATAGCTATTGCACCCTCAAGCTCTACTAATTGAATGCCACAAAAAAGTTCGTAAAAAATAATCATCCTCATTTATACTCTTATTTTCCATTTCTTCTTCTTATTTTTCTTCCTCCGGTTTCTTTAAATCGAAATCTAGTCACTCTACTGATTATGATAGCCTTTAATTCAAGTGTTTTCCTTCAGTCGATAACGATCCACGCTAATTCGATAGTACACTGATAAATTATTTGATAACAAACCTTTCAATATCGAATATTTAGTCATAGTTATTAAATCATTTATTTCCACCAAATAAATATTTAGTAGTATTTAACAAATTATTTATTGCTACTCAATAAATTGTTTATTGGTATTAAAAAAAATTAATTTTAGCGTATAATCTAACTTTTTTACTCAAAATAATTAAAATAAATAATTTTAAGTAAAAATATAAGGTATTATAAAGAAAATAATCTCATTAAATTATAATTTTTTAGAGACATTTATAAAATTTTAAATTAAACAACTTTTTAACGTATCAATAATAGACAAATTGAAAAATTTGGAAGATAAATCGAGCTGAATAAAATAATCTGAGTCAGTTAATAGGTTATGTATCACATTGGAATTAAAGCATCGCCATCTACCGACAATACTTACCAAATAAATATTTAGTACCTACTACTAAATATTATTTGGTGGAAACAAATATTTATTTTGATACAATAAGGCTTTGTTTATATTAATATAATTTATTTAAAATAAAAAAATCATTTATTAAACTGTAAAAAATAATAATTAACGGGTAAAAAATATTTTTTTCTCCCAAATAAATGACTAAAAATTTTGTTACTAAATTAGTTTAGTACTCCATACTTAATCCTCCTGTGGATGTATCAAACATGTATACAATTACTTATTAAGTTATTATTATATTTGAATGAAATACTATCTAGGATAATTATAAATTCTACCTTTCCACATTAACAGTAGTTAATAATATTGAATGGTGTGTTTTTGTTGAAATAAGCTCGGATGTTTAAACCGTTTAACAAAAACTTAATCCTTCTATCAGTGTAAGCTCTTCAGTCAGTACAGAAAATTCTTCATCTCAGCACCATCTAGCTTCTAAAACAAAACGAAATTTTCATATAATTAACTTAGTTTAAAAAAACACGCTTTTTATAGAAAACCAAACTAAAAAATAGATAATAAATTTTAATTAAGAATAGTGTTAAAAATTTCAATAAATATAAATTAATAATAGTGTGAATAAAAAAAAAATATTTTATTTTAAAAAAAGCGTGGGGTGCATGCT